TTCCCTACTTACTATCACAGCTAACATTGTGTCCCAGCAAAAAAATGTTGGTGCCACTAAGTGCATTTCTACCTCCAATATTAATAACCAAGAAGGTAAAAGAAAATAAAATCAGAAATCATCGTGGCAATGAATAAGGGAATTCTCATCTGTATGTTATAAATTTATCTAAGTGTGCTTTAGTCTTAAAGCAACTTTGCCTGACTGCCAGTAAAGAAAAGGTACAAAATTTAATAGCCATCCATCTAGCTATGTGTTCAATCAATCAGCAAATAAACAGACATTGTGCTTGTTGTTTCAGATACCATCAACGAACCAGGCACCATCCCTTCTCATTATAGGGCAGTGCAAGACACACACACACACACACACACACACACACACACACACACGCAAAATGGATTTGACAAAACGTAACATGAGATTATCAGAGAGAGTTTGGAGGGGACAGGAATAAACCAAAACTGACCAGCTCTAAAGCTAAGATACTTGGGATCTTTTCCATAGAGTTATTTGTAGATGAGGTATCCTTGAGAGAGTAAACTACAGTTTTTTTACTATCTAATGAAAGGGGTAGCATGAGGGGCTGAAGGAAAAAATATTATTTAATGCATTTGGTGCAAATATATATGTGATATATATGATATTATGCAGGCCCAAGATTTTTTAATTTTATTAAAGTAAAACATACATGGAGAAAAACATAAAAATCAAAAATATACAGGTTGATGAATTGTCACGAAGTAGCTCATCCATTTGACCACAACTCAGGGAAAAATTTGGATATTACTAACCCCCTAGAAGCCCCCATCTTTTCTCCCAGTCATCACCTCTCCATCCTTTCCAAGGGTAACCACAATCCTGAATTCTAACACCGCAGATTAGCTTTGCCTATTTATGAGATTCATACATGTTTTGTGTACCTGTAGTCCATTTTCACTTCTGTATACTATTACATGTCTGTGCTACAATTTTTCCACTCTACCTGTTGGCAAATATTTGGATCATTTTTTTTTGTTTGAGGCTATTACAAAAATAATTGAATAGGAACATTCTTGTACAAGATTTTTAGCGCCCTTATGTATGCATATCTAGTGCCCATATATATACCTTGGAGTGGAATTTCTGGGTCATAGACAAAGCATATTCAACTTTGGTTGATAATGCCAAACAGTTTTCTAAAGTGTTTGTAATCAATTCACACTCTCACCAGCAGAATGTAAAAATATCAGCTGCCCCTTAGTCCTGTCAACACTTGACATTGACTATCTGAAATTTTAGCAATTCCAGATGGTATGCTATAGTATTTCATTATGGTTTTAATTTACAGTTCACTAAAGTGGCCTTTTATATATTTACTTGGTGCAGTCAAAAGATTTTATGGAAACTATTACACATTTGCTAATCATCAGTACGTTTTTCTCAAATTATATTATGGTCCTACCTACCTTGATATTTTTCTCAGTCTGTGGTTGTTTTTTAAATGCAGCCCTTGAGAAGTTCAGCAGAGCCATTTACAAGGATGTCAACCACTGGAGAGACTTCCCCTACCCCAGATTGGATGCCAATCGCCTCTCTGACAAAATCTTCATGCTGTTCCGGTATATCATGGACAAGTGGGCCGCCATGACCTTGCCCACACAAGTGAGTGGGGTTCAGCATGCCTCCAGCTAGCTCTCCTGGCATGCTGGTTGAACTTCCTCTTCTCTTTTGGACATGGTAATTCATCTTAGTTCTCTTGGAAAGCTGTGGGTTGTATCTTATCAGGTTTATAAAATCTTTTGTTTTTCCTGTTTCAAATCACTATTTACTCATTATTTCAACTAATATTTATTGAGTCCCCATGACATGCCAGACATCATTCCCATACTGGGGATACAGCAGAGATTAAACAGACCCAAATCCCCACTCTCATGGAACGGACATGCCAAAGTGTGCAGAGAACAATAAATAACTAAAATGAGCAAAATATATGGAATTTTAGCTATATCATAACCTATATTTGGGCTGTCACTGTTTAGGAAAAACACCAGTCCAGAGAAATTTCCTGTGTCTGTGAATATCGCAATGAATTAAAATGATATCTAAAGAAGGAGTGTGTTTGCTTCAAAATACTGTAATGACTTATAAAGAACAGACTACAAAGTGCATTCACATATATAATCCCATCCTATCTTGCTTAATTGCTATGATTTTTTTTTTTTTTTTTTTTTTTGCGGTACGCGGGCCTCTCACCGTTGTGGCCTCTCCCATTGCGGAGTACAGGCTCCGGACACGCAGGCCCAGAGGCCATGGCTCACGGGCCCAGCCGCTCCGCAGCATGTGGGATCCTCCCGGGCCGGGGCATGAACCCGCGTCTCCTGCATCGGCAGGCGGACTCTCAACCACGGCGCCACCAGGGAAGCCCCCGCTATGAGTTTTTAAAGTAGGCGAAATTATATTCTATTTCAATCTCTTTATTGCTATATTATAAAAGATTTAACACTTAGCTACCTTCTCTAGTTCAGTTTCTTTTCTATATTTTGAGCTTTTAAAGCAGTCATTTTTTAACATGCTGGGATAGTTAAATCATTAGCAAACATGAAATTTTAAAAATATTCTGAGGAAGTCTTTTCTTCAAGCCACTTGAAAAACAAAATTCAATGCAAATTTGTTGACTACTTTCCTAGCCTCCCACAGGAAGTTAGGCAAGTAAGAAGGTGCACAAAGTAATAAGGGAGCACAGGGAGAGAAGCACTTAACCCCTGGTGAGCACTGGAAAGGCCATGACATTGGAACTGAGCTTGCAACCCATGAAGTCATCACTACAGGAGACATGCAGTCCCTAAAGAGGGGATAAAACCCACTGAAGCATAGGTTAGGGATGGGATAACGTGATACTTGAGTGAGTCCAGTGGGAGAAGGGGAAGTGGGGAGAGGAAAGGTGATATAAAGAGGCAGAAATAAAAGAAACCTAGAAGGTGGTCTTGGCCACATAATAAAGAATGCTACACAGTAGTTTTTTTTAAGAAATAAAGAAACCTTGGGGGACTTCCCCGGTGGTCCAGTGATTAAGACTTCACTTTCCAATGCAGGGGGTGCGAGTTCGATCCCTGGTCAGGGAGCTAAGATCGCACATGCCTCGCGGTCAAAAAACCAAAACATAAAACAGAAGTAATATTGTAACAAATTCCATAAAGACTTTAAAAATGGTCCACATCAAAAAAAATCTTTAAAAAACCAAAAGAAAAGAAACCTCGGAAGGGCTTAAGCAAGAAAAATGAGATCTTAGAAACTAAGAAAGGAGTGATTTTCAAGAAGCAGAGACAGATCTACAGAGGACATTGCTATGGTGCTCAAGAAAGAAAAATCTTGAAACGTGTCTACTGCATGGAAATGTGGTAGAAGAACCTTCCAGCTGACATACAGTGTTGACTGAAATAAATGGTTATTGTTATTAGCCACTAAGTTTTGACGTGGTTTGCTGTATAGCAAAATTTAGCTAATAGAAAAAAAAGCATTAGGTAGAAAAAGCAGAATATAGAACTATAAAGAATGGTGTCATGTTTTAAGAAATTAAGATACATAAGAAAAAGATAGGAAAGAATAGGTCAAATAAAGAAATAACTTATTAAAAATACACCAGACTGTGCTTATCTATGAGTACTGTGGGTACTGTGTTTTCTGCTTCCTCCTAATTTTTGTGACTTCTACATTTTTTAAAATAAATTTATTTTTTTATTTTATTTTCGGCTGTGTTGGGTCTTCACTGCCGCTCACGGGCTTTCTCTAGCTGCTACGAGTGGGGGCTTCTTTTGTTGCGGTGCGCGGGCTTCTCATTGCGGTGGCTTCTCTTATTGCGGAGCACAGGCTCTAGGCACACGGGCTTCAGTAGTTGTGGCACGTGGGCTTAGCAGTTGTGGCTTGCGGGCTCTAGAGCACAGGCTCAGTAGTTGTGGTGCACAGGCTTAGTTGCTCCACAGCATGTGGATCTTCCCGGTCCAGGGATCAAACCCGTGTCCCCTGCAATGGCAGGCGGATTCTTAACCACTGTGCTACCAGGGAAGCCCATGATTTCTACATTTTTATCATCAACATATTGCATTTATATTTTGTACTGGTTCATTTTTCATGTCGTGTGGAAGCCAGATGACAGTGGATTGAGAAATAAAGGGGAGGTGGGGAGTGGAGGTAAAAACGGTAGACCACCCTTCCAAAAGCTTTGCTCTGCGAGAAAGGAAAGAGAAACAGAATTGGATGAGGATAACAGTGGGGCTAAAATGATATGGAATCAAAGAATTTTTTAAGATAAGGGAAATTTTAAATTTGTTAATATAGTAAAAGAAAGTGACCATTACAGAGAGGTTAAAGAAATAGAAGAGCGGGACAAACATTGAAATGAGCATCAATATAGATATAGATGTAGATACAAATATAACTCTCCTTCCTACAATGATCTTAACCTAAACATTTTTTGAAGAAACGTTGCTCGGTTGAAAGCAGTGAGGAAAGCTTTTTGGGGGGTATCTAAAGCTTCTGGTATACTGAGAAATGCACAAAAAGCATAATGAAGTGTGAGAAACAGTATTTGTTTGCTGCCTCTGCAGATTTTGGCCATCATTAAGGCTCTCGGCCCCACAGTGAGCCTGCTGCTGCATCAGGAAGACCTCTGTGAATACACCCTGGGCCAGGTCCCTTGGCTCCTGAAGCAGTATAAAGACAAAGAGATTGATTTCCACGTCACTCAGGTGAGAGCCACACCCTAAAGAAACCGATTCTGATAGCTGACCAACAATCATCCTGGAGGATGTTAATTTTCAAGAGGGGTCAAGGAGGGCTTCCCTGGTGGCGCAGTGGTTGAGAATCTGCCTGCTAACGCAGGGGGCACGGGTTTGAGCCCTGGTCTGGGAGGATCCCACGTGCCGCGGAGCAGCTAGGCCCGTGAGCCACAACTACTGAGCCTGCGTGTCTGGAGCCTGTGCTCCGCAACAAGAGAGGCCAGCAATAGTGAGAGGCCCGCGCACCGTGATGAAGAGTGGCCCCCGCTCGCCACAACTAGAGAAAGCCCTCGCACAGAAACGAAGATCCAACACAGCAAAAATAAATTAATTAATTAATAAACTCCTACCCACAACATCTTAAAAAAACAAAGAATTAGGGGAACTTAAGGAGTTAAAAAAAAAAAAAAAAAAAAAAAAAAAGAGGGGTCAAGGAACTCAAACACGTGTTTGGGCAGCCGAACTTAAATACCTCTTAGGAAATATGAGGTAGAGAAGCGGTCGGTGGCATAGCTGGATGGTGGAAACTCCAGAAAGGAATTTCTGTTCAAGCTGCTGGGGAACTAAACAAGGTAGAGGAGCAGAATCACTAAAGACAACTGGTAACCACAGAAAGGTTATGGGTTTGTTCTCCTCACAAAAGGTAATGAGTAATGATTCGCTTTCCGCATCCTGTGCTGTTGCTCCGTAGGCAGCCTCCAGCTAACCTTAGAGAGCTTTCATTCCAGAGTCTAAGACAGATACTGACCGCGGCAGTCCTTTATGACGTTAGCCTTCCAAAGGCCTTGAGGAAGACCATCTTTATCAATTTACTCCACCAGGTAAGACCATGTTGTCAGATCTGATTGTTTCATTTTCAACAGCTTTCTCTTTTTAACATCTACCACCTGAGTTTTTTCTTCTCATTCAGGTGTGCAGAGTTCTAGATCCTCCAGTAAAGGAAAATGAAATCGAAGCTTCGGACTGTTTCCTCATTCTAGGTAGGACCCAGCATCCAGAGGGTTTTTAATTAAAATGTCTCCAAGTGATGATGACGACAAGGATGAAGTGCATGCAAACTGTCACATTTGTTACTTTCACACCTACACACAAAATGTTTCTTCAACTCAAAGTATTCTGTGCCTTTCCCTATCCTCCCTGCTCCCAAGAAGAGTGCAGCTGGTAGGGTGACCAATTATCCTGATCTGCCCGGGACTAAAGGATTTCCAGGAAAACAGAACTTTCAGTTCTAAAACCAGAAAAGCCTCAGACATATTTTGGATATTAACTCTTTACTGGATATAAGGTTGGCAAATATTTTTCCCCATTCCATATGTTGTCTTTTCATTTTGTTGGTGGTTTCCTTGTCTGAGAAGAAGCCTTTTGGTTTGATGTAGTCCCACTTGTTTATTTTTGCTTTTGTTGCCTCTGCTTTGGGTATCAAATTCAAAAAAATTCATTGCCAAGACCAATGTCAAAGATCTTCTTCCTATGTTTTGTTCTAGGAGTTTTACAGTTTCAGGTCTTATGTTCAAGTCTTAAATCCATTTAGATTTAATTTGCATGTTTGGTGTAAGGTAGGAATTCGATTTCACTCTTTGGCATGCGGCTGTCCAGTTTTCCCAGCACCATTCACTGAAGAGACTATTCTTTCCCCCATTGTTTATTCTTGGCTCCTTTGTTGAAAATTAATTGACTATATATGCATGGGTTTATTTCCAGGCAAACCTGTAAGAGTTGGCAACCCTAAGGCTAGGAAATGCTTTTTTCTTGGCATTTGAGATTATTTGAAACTCTATCAAACCCCAGTCATCTTTTTTCCTCCTTGTCATTTCTTAGTATCTATCCCTTGTCTCTCTCTCCCTCCTTCACTCTCTCCCTTTTGTTCTTGCTTTCACGTCACAATCCCGCCCATCACCTGGTTAGAATACCAGACACAGGTTGTCAAGGAAGCACCAAGTTCCCAGGGTCAGGATACAAAACTATACTCTAATATAGTCCCTCAGGGCAAGAGACAAGAGCAATCCTAGACCTCCCACACCTGCACCCTCCCAAAATATGTCATTTCTCTACTTCACTGCATACCTTTGTAGTATGGTCTAGTTCTCTCCTAACTGGCCACCTCTGTTTCTATAGTTTCCACTTCTCTATGCCCCAGCCTGATTAAGTTCTTTACTTTATCTCTAACATTTCCAACCCAAACCTCTCTTCTCCATCCAGGTCTTTCTTCACTCTTCCCTGCTTCCTTCTTACCCTTTCAAGTCTCCAGCTGCACAGCTGGTGAAGCATCATTTTGATCTCTGCCTCCATGTTCACAAGGCTTCCCTCTGTGTCTCTGTCTGTATCTTCTATCCATTTATTATAAAGACACCAGTCATATTGATTTAAGACAACCTCATCTTAACTTGATTTCATCTACAAAGAACCTAATTTCCAAATAAGGTTACATTCACAGGTATGAACAGAAGTGGGTCTAGCTCTCTTAGTGACCAAACTGTTTAATTAATTCTGTGATACTGAAGAAGTATGGACATAATAAAATCTGGTTACCAACCAAAGAGTGACTTTGATAATCCTCATGGAATGATCCTCTTCCCATTCACAAGTATTTCACCTAAGGTGAAAATGAGTTCTTATGACTCCAGTATTTCTTAAACCCACAGCCCATTCCAGCCCTGCGGACCTGATAGAATTTTTTGATGAACAAATGAGAAGTAATAATGAAGCCACTTGAATGGGAATCTTGACTTTGTTAAGATCGGCTATCAGTGCTGAAGGTAAGCAGCAAAGATGACAGCAGAGTGGTTTATTTTGTACCAAAAAGCAAACTGAAACTTGTGCATTGTCTCTAATTCTATCCCATGTCTTTGGGAAATTTATAGAGCATCATATTCAGGTGAAGCTTGGTTTTCTTAGTTGTCTACAACCTACTACTTCTAAACAGGCATTTCTAGTTACCTCTCTTCTTTCATGATATTTATGGATGCACCCACTAAATGAGTAGAATATTTGAGAATTGAATCTAGAATTTAAAAGAGCTAGTAAACTGGTTAAGTAGCCTGATAAACAGGGAGTGGGTGGGAAGAATGTACAATATTCTAAAAGTTAGTACATTTAGAAAAGAGGGGAATTTAATACATTTTCATATTTCATTAATTCCAAAAGGCACATATTTTCACAGTATCAGAATGCATCTTATAATTGATAGCATCTTTAATTATCATCAGCCACTAGAGTTTTTCACTTGGCACAATATGAGATGGCACAATGATGCCTCATAAAATTATATCTTGGATTCAATAAAATATGACAATTCATTTTTTCACAGCACTGTAATAGTTTTTTAAACACCTTTATTACAGTATAATTGCTTTACAATGGTGTGTTAGTTTCCACTTTGTAACAAAGTGAATCATTATAATAGTTTCTTAAAATTCAGTTTACCCTGGGATTTACTGAAGACTTGGCAGAAGAAACATGAAGTTGTGTACGAAATTTAAAGCCAATCCATTAGGCATGATGTATTGAATCCACTTAAGAATCTAACATTTTAAACAAGGTGAAACAAAATGTAACAGAGAACCAAAAAAAGCAATAAACATGTGTAAAGAGTTGGAAAAGGAGAATGTAGGAGGGAACTGAATAACATAAAATGTTAAGGACCAGAGACTTTGCAACTATGTACCATAACTCTAATGGGTTTTCATCAATTCTAGAACATACTGTAGTCCTTCTGAAGCGGGTCTCTCAATTTCTCCCTCTATCTTTCAGAGCCCAAGTTGAGGGATCACATCACTTCAATTGAAAAAACAGTCAAAGTCGTCATGGGCGACCTCAGTATTAAAGTAAGAGAATTAACGGGGACTTTTATTTGGATAATGATAGTTTTAGGAGTAAATGAAATGGTTTTGACTGTTTAAGAATCTGCTTATGAGACTGCTTTATAAAGAATTCAGTGATCAATTCTACTTTTAAAAGAACTCCATCTTTCCGCAAAAGATAAACTCTATCGAAGTAAAGTTCTAAAACACATTCAGTTCAAGGGCTTCTCAGTAGAAAAAAAAAAGATTTTTGCCCAGAGCATCACTCTGCCATGCTCTTCAAAAAGTTTTAAATTTAATTAGTTGAAAACTTAATTGTTAATTATAAAGATAATACTTCTTCCTCCAAAAAATAATAACCCCTGAACCCTGTTCTGAGCAGAGACATCCTATTTTCCAATCAGGGAGCACCTAGAGCAAGTCTTGCACACAATAGATTTGTCATTATTTCCTGATGATTTGATTAAAGTATTCCACGTTGGAAAAGACATAGAACTTAAATGGGAACAATTTTTAAAATTAGCAATTGTAGTATTATTTGTATGAAAACCATATTTTGTTTGGATCAAAGCCCTACACAGAAGCCAATGAAGATGAGAAAATTCCCCTAAGAGGCTTTGGTCACCAATAACTATGTTTAAAATAACCAAAGCTATGCAATAAATAACAATGGAGTGATTATATATAAAAACCTGACCCAGTAACTGACCAAGCCAATCAAAGAATTGCTAGGATTTAGGGTACAATAAAAGAGCACAGAAACTTTAAGGAAGGCCAGTTAATCAGGCAAAAATAAAGAGAAAATATACCTCTTTCTCCTTAATTAGGGAGATTACTGAGTCCCTGTATGCTAATTGTTAATTGCCACCTTGTGGCCCTTCCTCCCTGTGCAAAATTATTTTCTTCCCACCCTCCATTAAAAGACCCATTCACTAAGGAATTAGATCTGAGATTTCTATCCTCCAGGGAAGCAATTCAATAAATTAACTGAAGCCAAATTATTAAAAACCTGTGACACAGGTTCATAATACTTTATTTGAATCCGTAGAGCCAGACTTACTTCAGAATCACAACTTTCCAGATTTCAGAAAAACATTACTGTGACAGTAGCCCACAATCAAACCTATTAATATTTTTTCAAGAAAATGTATGCATATCACACTACATAAAAGAGGTAGGGCTTCCCTGGTGGCGCAGTGGTTGAGAGTCCGCCTGCCGATGCGGGGGACAGGGGTCCGGGAAGATCCCACATGCCGCGGAGCGGCTGGGCCCGTGAGCCATGGCCCCTGAGCCTGGGCGTCTGGAGCCTGTGCTCCGCAACGGGAGAGGCCACAACAGTGAGAGGCCCGCGTACCGCAAAAAATAACAATAATAAATTTTTAAAATAAATAAATAAAAAAGAGGTAAAGACTACAAATAGCTTTAAAACAGTTCAGTTTGGGTTTTGCTACCAATGAGTTGGCACCAAATTTAAGAAACAAAATCCCAGTTTTCAGAGTCATTTAGAGTTTGAATTTGTGGATAAGGAATTGTGGAATTTTATTTCAGTGTGGTATCTTTCACTGAGGATTTTTAAAGCGAGGCCATGTTTAGCCCAAAGTTACTAATGTTTCATAATATACAGTAATAGAGAACATGTCTTGGGAACTAGGAAGAAAGATTAAAGAGAGCTTTGCCAGTGACACTTAAATCATAACCTGTAGATTACTTCCTGCTCCATATATTACAGTAAGATCATTCAATTTATACTCTTTTTTGGAAAGATTCCACTGAATGATCCATGAAGGTTACAGAATAGGAGAATCTAAATTTCTATTCAGAGTAAAATGCTGTGAATGCGTTTTCCTTACTCTAGGTGAGGAATTCCGCCCTTCTCCTCATCCAAACCATGTGTGAAAAACGTTACATTGAAGCCCAGGAAGGCTGGCCACTGATTGACTACATCTTCTCTCAGTTTGCAATGTCCAACAAGAATCTGGTATGAAGAGGGTGCCATTTTGAGTGCTGCCCTGTAGCAAGTTCAGTTGACTCAACTGGATTTTTAAAAAATGTCTGTGGTCCAAGTTAGAAACTGACTTAGAGGTTATATTTCAGCCTTATCACTTTCACTAATAAATTTTTCAGCTTCTAGTGTTCTCGGTTTTCTTTCAGTGATATCCTTTTTAACTTACAATAAACCCAAGGTAGGTTAAATCAGTTTTTCCTAAAAAGGAGGCAACCTGGCCTCAAAAGCTTGGGGGTGGTTTGGAGACAGGCAGAGAAAGTGAATTGTTTCTAGAAAACAAGAAACATCCATACTTGTTACACCGGTTCCTTTGGATGAAGAGCCTGAAAAACATGTGCTTAAGATCTCAGTAATCTTAGCAAATTCATTGCAGCTGAAATTACAGTCCACTCCACTAGGAAGCAGTGTCATTGGAAATTTTTGCCCCAGAGAAAAAGGGGAAAGGCCTGAGGGAGAAAAGGAGTAACTGCAGTCCAAGGATCCTCACAATGTTTGTTTTTCTGCTTCAGCCAGGGGTGTTTTTTTCTAACCCATTCCTCCAAATAGCACTTTAAAACAGGATTAGATACTGGAGACCAAGATTGCTGGATTCCACAAGCCCTTTAAGTTGAGTGACTGCATCCTCCACCCCAGAGTCTAAGAACACCTCCAAGTAAGGTCAGAGGCGACCGACAGCAGGGATTATGAACAAGTCGCCTATTTCATCTTTCTTAAAGGAGAAACCAATAAAACCTAACTCCCAGGAGACCGAAAAGGGAGAGAAATGTATCCAAGAAACAAGCCTGGAGGTCCTAAAAACCCTGGACCCACTGATCATTGGAATGCCTCAGGTAAGGGGTCTTTTAGCACCACTCATAGTTAATTTGATCACCTTTCTAAAGCTCTGAACATTTAGTAGTAAAGATACGAGTTGGTACTCCATGTGTCATCAGCTTTTTGATGCTCTGACTAGAGGAAGTATGTTGGGATGCTCAGTGCCAGCACATAATAGTTCCTCAAAAACAGGTGTAAAATTAGCTAAATAATCTTTTCTATCTGGATGGCAAATGGCAGTTTATAAGCATCTTAATACATTATTTTTCTTCTTCCCCTGACATACTTAGACACATATTGTAAGTGGTGATTCTAACGCAGTGAATGCTAAACTTTCCCCATTTATCTGGGAAGGTGTTAAAAGCACACATTCTTAGACCTCACTTGAGGCCTAATATAACCTGAACCTCAAGGAGAGGAGCCTTAGAATCTGCATTTTGCTTAAGCAAAACAACCTGGAAAAGGATTTAATGGCCAGAAATACATGGCACAGCCAGGAGACAATCAAAAGGCCAGTTTAAGAGGATCACAGGCTTTATCTAGGATGGTTTTTTAAGGTGTGGGTTTTGGATTACCGGGGCTATTTATTTAAAATGCAGATTTTCAGGCCACGTGCCAGACCTAAATGAATCAGCATATCTGGGCATGGGGCCCATAAATCTGCATGCAATTAATTCCAACATTTCTCATGCATATTAAAGTTTGGAGAATTCTGATCTAGTAGTAAATGATGAAAGAGTAGTCTAAGGCCAGACTCTGAAGGGTCTGAAATGCCAAATTCCTTCCTTGTCCTTGATGAGCCAATGAAAATTTTAAGCAAAGACTAAACATTTTAAATGATAACTGTAGGAAATCAGTGTGTTGACACTGATTTAAGAGTAGACACTGGGGCTTCCCTGGTGGCGCAGTGGTTGAGAGTCCGCCTGCCGATGCCGGGGACACGGGTTCGTGCCCCGGTCCGGGAAGATCCCACGTGCCGCGGAGCGGCTGGGCACGTGAGCCATGGCCGCTGAGCCTGCGCGTCCGTAGCCTGCGCTCCGCAACGGGAGAGGCCACGATAGTGAGAGGCCCGCGTACCGCAAAAAAAGAGAGATCAAATTTAAATAAAAACATTAAGACAATGAGGGTGTGTATACATGCTAAAAATTTGCAAAGGCTCAGGGACCAAAAGCCAGAAGAAATTATGTGGATACGTACCCACTAACCATTTAAATGAACCGAGAACCCAGACATCAGAGTTAGGACTCTGGGGTCATTATGGAGAAACTGGGGAGCCCCCCCCGATGCGCCACAACTACTGAGCCTGCGCTCTAGAGCCCATGCTCCGCAACAAGAGAAGCCATTGCAGTGAGAAGCCCGCGCACCGCAACGAAGACCTAACACAGCCAAAAAATAAATAAGTTAAAAAAAAATTGTTTTCTTTTAAAAAGAAAAGGATTATGCTTAGGCTTGGACAAAGGGAGGAGTCCAAGTGGACACCTAAGTTTCCATTAGGACGTGAACCATAATGGAGTTTTTCAGGGGAAGTGAAACATACAGACTACAGAAATCAGGTGTTGCAGATTTCCAGCGCGAGAAGATCAGCACCTGGGGACTTCCCTGGTGATCCAGTGGTTAGGACTTGGCGCTTTCACTGAGGGGGCCCTGTGTTCAATCCCTGGTCAAGGAACTAAGATCCCGCAAGCCATGTGGTATGGCCAAAAATAAATTAATTAATTAACTGAAAAAGAAGAAGATCAGCACCTGGAGCACAGACAGCAGCAGCAGCCCCGTCGCCATCCATTCCCCGTCATTCTCACTCTGGACAGTTCCACTCGAGTCTTGGGAGTTTGGAGAAATATTTGGGGGCATTTTTGGTTGTCATATTGACAAGGGGTTTAACGGCACTTGGTGAGTGGAGCCCAGCCCTCCCTGCAGTGACCCACAATGACGACTTGTCCTGTCCCAAATTCCAGCAGCAACCTCACGGAGAAACACTGACCAACACTCACTGCAAGTGGCACCTGAAAGTGAATGTGCTGTGCAGAGACTGTGTTTCATGATTTCATTTTGATTTGGCCTGAAGAGCAAAATAATAACACGTGAGAGAAAGTTTTCTAAATTAGAGGGAAACACACAGAGAGGACCAAAGAGGAATAATGAAAAAGAATAAGCAATCCTTGCATCTTGCCTTATGTTTTCCACAGGTGCTATGGCCAAGAATCCTGACTTTTCTGGTACCTGCAGAATATACGGGAACGCTGAAATACCTGTTTAATATCATCAGAATTCTGTTTACGGCAGAGGAGAGGAAGAAGAATAATGCCAAGGAGTCAACAGCACTTGCCATCTCTGCAGGAGCTGGTTTGGACATTCAAAAACAAAGCAAAACATTTCTCTTATGAGAGACTAGTTTCCGGAAAGGCTACAGGGCTTTGCTTGTAAACCCAAGCCCCATCTGATTTTTTCTAGGCCCTGTAGCAGTAATGAAAATTGCTTTCTCTTTGTAGTGAAACTTCCTTCACCACAAAAGCTACAGGCCAGACTTCTGGTGAGTGAGTTATGAAAAACCAATGTGGTATGAATTTAAACCAATATAGACAATTCAGCTCCAAATAAATGATAATAAAAATTACATAGATATTCCAAAACAAAAGAAACACTAAAATGGCATAATAAATGTTCTGCTATACTAATGACTCTGATGAAGATTTATTATTTGCAAGATTATCTTCTCACTCTGAAATATTTGTTAAACTTCATTTATGATTTTTTAAATAAACATAGACTGAATCTGATCCATAAGAACCATTCAAACAAATTCCACATCTGTTGTTTAGATTTCTGTCTCTCTCTTTTTGGCCACATATGTGCTTGAGCACTATTTCCACATGCCCTTATTTAATTAATAGATATATCTAAGTGTTGGTATGTTTCATTTATTTTTGGTTGATGGTTTCCATATGTTTTTACACCTTTATCCTCGGAAGAAAATTGGGCAGATGGATTGTCTAAGTACTAGCTTTGATCTAGAATAAGTAAGAATAGACTGTGATGGTTTGTTAAAAGATTATCTAATGAAGGATTCAAGAGAATCCAAAACAGTGATAAAAAGGAAAAGGTAGGTGAGGCTTCTAAGTTAATTAACAATTTTTCTTCCTTCCTCCAGGTAATATCTGTGCTCGCCAGTTTAGGGAAATTACATGGGGTCGGTGCAATAGGACTTTTGAAGATATTGCCTGAGATAATTCACCCAAATTTGGTAGAGCTATGGAAAACACACATACCTGAGCTCCTGCAGCCTCTGGAAGATACAAGGGAGTGGGATCAGGTCTTTATCCAAGGAGACAAGAACACAAGGAAATGAGGCACCACTTCTATGTCTTAAGCCATTAATGTTCATATTAGGCAATAAAAACAATGAACTTGACATGCAAGGTAGACAGCTCTATTTTGTCCTGGACTCCTTATGTTCTATTTCTCTACCAAATACTTATATTGATATTATAAGAGGACCAGGTGTGTTACATATTTAGCAGGAACTTTTACTTTTGCTCTGGTCTTCTTTTTTTTGTATTTAGAGAAGCTGTCTTTTGGTATTGTTCTAAAAAGTTATTATTCATCCATGCTAGAATATTAAGATATGGTAATTCAGTAGTTACTGTTGAAACTGGCAAAAAGCCTGGATTTTTATTATGGATTGAAGACCCTCTGTCCAGCTGACTAGCAATTTAGAATTGCCAACATAGTAAATTTAATCTGAAATAACCACCCTGCATAGGGAGAAAGCTTGAAATGGAACAGTAGCAGCCAGTGCTGACCTGGACACTGGGCTGGGTTTTGTTTTTTGTTTTTTGTTTTTGGCACTTATTGCATCAATTTCTATTTCTAGGAAAGAACATTAGTATCGTGCTGTGGGAGACCATGCTGCTTCAGGTAAAGATGGCTCCTAGACTAATTGTTGATGATGGGGTGATGAAATCACCTAAAGTTACCCATCTTTACGAAAAAGAATTAGATTCCAAAGGACAGGAAACAACATTTCCTTTTCTTGAGAAAATCACTAGACTGTTAGACATGATCACATAAGAATTTTATGCTCTTTAAATCACAATTTGAACAATAATCTTTAGTCTTCAATTTGATTCAGAATTTAAGACAGTTTTGAAGATATCACTTACTAATATTTTTCTTACTAATATTTTTTTCCGTCTTTCTTAAATCTTCTCTAATTTTCAGTTTTTTCCCTCTCCTTGCAATTGCATTCTTTCACCATTCATAAAAAGAAACAGAGATTAACATAATTTCCACTTCTTTGCTCCTGAATACAAATCCATTTCCTCCTCTATCTGCTTCTCACTATCTTTTTCCTGATGTCTAAACACCAAAAGGCCATGTTTTACCCCTTCTCCAGAAAAGAATCTTTCTCTCATCCATAACTTTTTGGACCTTGACAACCAAACAGTGCCACAGACAATGTCAAATCCCCAAAAGAGTAAACTGCAGACAGGAGTTGGACATTGGCTTTACAGAGAGCATTTTGATTTCAGGAGCCCACAGGAGATCAAGGAACCCATGGGCAGGGAGCTTTTAATCCAGCAGAGTTTTGGTTCATAAGCCACCTATATAGGAATTAACTATGGCTTCTTTATTTTTTTTTTTATTGAAGTATAGTTGATTTACAATGTTATGTTAATTACTGCTCCACAGCAAAGTGATTCAGTTATACATATATATACATTCTTTTTTTTAACGTTCTTTTCTGTTACGGTTTATCATAGGATATTGAATATAGTTCCCTGTGCTGTACAGTAGGCCCTCGTTCATCCATTCTGTATATAAAAGCTTCCATCTGCTCACCCCAACCTCCCACTCCATCCCTCCCCCAAGCGCCACCTGCTTGGCAACAGCCAGTCTGTCCTCTATGTCTGTGATTCTGTTTCTGTTTCATAGATAGGTTCACTTGTGTCCTATTTTAGATTCCATACATAAGTGATATCATATGATATTTGTTTTTCTCTTTCTGACTTACTTCATTTAGTATGATCATCTCTAGTTGCATCCATGTTGCTGCAAATGGCATTATTTTGTTCCTTTTTATGGCTGAGTAATATTCCATCGTATATATGTACCGCATCTTCTTTATCCATTCCTCTGTCGATGGACGTTTAGGTCGCTTCCATGACCTCCCTATTGTAAATAGTGCTGTTATGAACACAGGGATGCATGTATTTTTTTGAATTATAGTTTTGTCTGGATATATGCCCAGGAGTGGGATTGCTGGATCATACAGTAACTCTATTTTTTGTTTTCTGAGGAACCTCCATACTGTTTTCTATAGGGGCTGCACCAACTTACATTCCCACCAACAGTGTAGGAAGGGTCCCTTTTCTCCACACACTCTCTGGCATTTGTTATTTGTAGACTTCTGAATGATGGCCATTCTGACCAGTGTGAGGTGGTACCTCATTGTAGTTTGTTTCTGTTTTTTTGTGGGGTTTTTCTGTATTTATTACTATTTATTATAGAATAGGTAACTCTTTTATTTAGAGAAAGCTCAGGGTATTTTAATGGTTTTTAAATTTATATTTAAAAAAATACCTGTCAAATGTTTTTGAAGAATTTGATTATAAAATTTGCTAGATTTTTAAAATATTTTAATTTTATTGGATTATAGCTGATTTACAATGTTGTGTTAGTTTCAGGTGTACAGCAAAGTGATTCAATTATATGTATACATATATTCATTCTTTTTTTAGATTCTTTTCTCATATAGGTTATCACAGAATATTGGGAAGAGTTCCTTGTGCTATACAGTAGGTCTGTGTTGGTCAACTATCTTAAATATAGTAGTGCGTGTGTGTTCATCCCAAGCTCCTGATTTATCCCTCCACCTCCCCCCCAAATCCTTTGGTAACCATAAGTTTGTTTTTGATATATATAAGTCTGCTTTCATTTTGTAAATAAGTTCATTTGTACCTTTTTTTAAAATTAGATTCCACATATGAGTGATATCGTATGATATTTGTCTTTCTCTGTCTGACTTACTTCACTTAGTTTGATCATCTCTAGGTCCATCCATGTTGCTGCCAATGGCATTATTTCATTCTTTTGTATGGCTGAGTAATATTCCACTGTATATATGTACCACATCTTCTTGATCCATTTTTCTGTTGATGGACATTTAGGGTTGATTTGTATTTCTCTAATAATTAGCAGTGTTGAGCATCTTTTCATGTGAACTATGGCTTCTTTAAAATGTCAGATTTCAGTGACCTCTCCACAGCACCCCACCCCCAACACCCCCCTTCCAGAATCAGAATCTCTAGGTGGGGTACCTGCAAGCTCACAGGTCTTAATGATACCCACAGTGAATCTTATCCCATGTGAGGTTTGAAAGCAACGGCTCTATGCTTCCTGGTCCTTAACTCTGGGATCCACCTCTCCTCCTATATTCAGGCTTCTTTTATCTTCCCCTCCCTCTCTCAAAATTTTTATCTTATTTTCCCCTGCTACCATTTTTTTTTCTTTTCTTTTTTCTTTTTTTTTCTTTTTAGCTGCATTGGGTCTTTGTTGCTGGGCGTGGGCTTTCTCTAGTTGCAGCAAGCGGGGGCTACTCTTTGTTGTGGTGCGCAGGCTTCTCATTGCAGTGGCTTCTCTTGTTACAGAGCACCGGCTCTAGGTGCGCAGGTTTCAGTAATTGTGGCACGTGGCCTCAGTAGTTGTGGCCCACAGGCTCTAGAGCTCAGGCTCAGTAGTTGTGGCGCATGGGCTTAGTTGCTCCGTGGCATGTGGGATCTTCCCTGACCTGGACTTGAACCCGTGTCCCCTGCATTGGCAGGCGGATTCTTAACCACTGAGCCACCAGGGAAGCCCCCCTGCTACCATTTTAAAATAACTGTTCTTACTAGGAAGGAAGGTTCTTTCTTGAGAAGCCTTGAGAACAGTTCTTTTCCTTCCTCCAATCTTGAGTATACTTCTTGGCTTCTTTTTCCAAACTGTCTGCATTTGCTTTCTTCCCTTATACTGCCAAGGTTGTACAATTTTTTTCTCTTCAAAGGATCCACTCAATGAGTTTCTATTAAGAAAATGAATACAAATCTTTTCATTGGTTTTGACATTGTGTTCTTTCCAAGCTTAAGGTAGAGAAAACACAGGAGAAATTGTAGATTTTAGAAATTGCAAATGGATTTTGTCCTCCAAAAAGACAAAAATACCTTTTTATGTATTGTTCAATGAAGAGGGACATGGGTTCAGACAACTGATTGTGGCCCTGGCTCAAAATAACTGATGAAATGAGGAATATTTCACTACTCGAGTTGAAGTTGGCAACTTGTGCTTGTATATCTAATTGGTTCTTCAAGGCATTTAATTCACTATTCCAAAAATGTCCCTTTTTCTTAGTATGGTGTAAAGCAAACTGACTTTGACAAATGGAGTTTTTTTCCAAATCTACCCAAACCTTGAAAGATGTTAACTTCAATTTTAAGTTTCAGATTGGATGAGTTTCTATATTAAGTTTTTTGGCAATTTTTATTTAAAAGGAAAGAGGAAGGCACTTACACGGAGTTACTTGCCCTTCCTGTGCATCTAATTCTTAATGGGAATTCGGAACAGGTTGTTATGGGAAAAGGAATAATCCCATGTAATATATACTTTATACTTTTAGAATACATTGTAACAAAAAAGCACCAAGAAAGCACATTAAACTGTCACATTAGTATATGACTTTCACCTCCTACAACAGTTGCTCAAAGAGTCATTACGGAAGATCAATGACGTAGCCTGGACCATTCAACTGAGTCGGGATTTCAACCAGCAACTGGACAGTTACGGCAACACCTCTGTTGAGAAGGTTGGTTTTTTAGCTCAGAGACCTTAGCTTCTACTTTATGACCAAAAGGAGGGAGAAATGGTTAGAAAAATGCTCCCTTCTCTTCACCTTACATTTGACCAAAGGTTACAGGGCCACACCTATCTGCAAGGAAAACTGCCGAGTATAGTGCCTTCAAGATAAATACATGCCTAACTAAAATTCAGGGGTTCTGTTCTAGAGAAGGAAGAAAAATGGATACTGGAAGGCAAATGGCAGCCCCTACCAGAGCACTAGTTTAATGCAGCTTATGCCTTGGTTTACATTGGGCCAGTCTTGTGAGGCTGGCTACGAGAAATAATCTACTACAACTTTTTAAAAACTTGAAAGAAAAGAATGCTCAAAGGCCACTTCTTTCATTCTTCTCTCTCCACATGACCTCTACCAAACCCTCCACACTGTAACCATCCATTCCAAATGGGGTTTGAATCCAGCTTCTGCTACTTACTGCTTATGTAGCTTTAGGTAAATTTTTTAACCTCTCTGGAGCCTCAGTATACTCACCAACAAAATGGAAATTTTATCTACCTCTGAGGACTGTAGTGTTACAAGGGTTCAATGAGATAAAGTATACAAAGTCCCAAGTGAAGTGCCTGGCACATGGCATGTGTTTAATAAAAAGTAGATGGTGGTTATCATTGTGGATATATTATTCCTAATATTTTTTTCTGAAAAAACATTTCCTAAGTCATTAAATGTTCCCAGTATTAAGTGTCTCTTCCCCCAAATTCTTTATTAGCAACCTCTAACTCTTCTATGTAATTTTCAAAATTCCTCTCACTGATTGACTCTCTAATTTGGTACAGAGTACTGATTCTCCAAACTGGTCTATCCAGCCTGCAGACACACCCATCAGAAAAATTTGGTGAGCAATGACTCATCTTCTTATACACGAACTAGCCTTGTGCATCTCATGTAGTACCATTCATCCAACAGTATCCAAACCCACAAGATTAGTCCAAGATAATGGTTGTATGAGTAGGCAGAGCAATTCAAGCAATGAGCTGCTTAAATGGCTCTAAACCTTTACACTTAACACCAGAAAAGTAAGTGTACCAACTAGCTTTAGAAGCATAACAAACTACCCCCTGGTGGCTTAAAATAACAGGCACCTAGTTAGCTTACAATTTTGCAAGTTGACAGTTTGAGTTGGGCTCAACTGGGCAGTCTTCTGAGCTCAACTAGCCTCACTGCAGTGCACTGGGGATTGGCTGGTCTGGGATGATCTTAACTAGGACAGCTTTTTTCTGCTACTTGCAGTCCCTCATCCTCCAGCAGGCTAGCCCAGGCTTGCTCTCACGGTGAGGGCAATGAAGTATGCAATGTTTCCTGAGGTCTAAGCTCAGAAGGGGCATACTATTGCTTCTACCAATTCCATTGACAAAAGCAAGTCACAAGACCAGCCCAGATGCAAGGAATGGAAAAATAGAGTCGTCTTGATAAGAGCTGCAAACTCCCATAGCAGGGAGGTGTGGATAGAGGTGGGATAGAAAGGTTATGGCTATTTTTGCAATCAATGACATTTTTTCCCCCAATTCCGGGTTTCTGATTTCTGGGATTCCTAGCCAAGTCCCCAAGTAAGAATGCACTATACATTGAATCTGACCAAATTCAGCAGAGAAGCAACAGATCAGCAGTACTGGGGGCCACTGAGGCCAGCTAGCCCTTCACATGTAAGTCATATTTCCCCCTGATCAAATCAATTTTTTCTCAGCACAAGACTAGCCCCCCTGCTACCATTTTAAAATAACTGTTCTTACTAGGAAGGAAGGTTCTTTCTTGAGAAGCCTTGAGAACAGTTCTTTTCCTTCCTCCAATCTTGAGTATACTTCTTGGCTTCTTTTTCCAAACTGTCTGCATTTGCTTTCTTCCCTTATACTGCCAAGGTTGTACAATTTTTTTCTCTTCAAAGGATCCACTCAATGAGTTTCTATTAAGAAAATGAATACAAATCTTTTCATTGGTTTTGACATTGTGTTCTTTCCAAGCTTAAGGTAGAGAAAACACAGGAGAAATTGTAGATTTTAGAAATTGCAAATGGATTTTGTCCTCCAAAAAGACAAAAATACCTTTTTATGTATTGTTCAATGAAGAGGGACATGGGTTCAGACAACTGATTGTGGCCCTGGCTCAAAATAACTGATGAAATGAGGAATATTTCACTACTCGAGTTGAAGTTGGCAACTTGTGCTTGTATATCTAATTGGTTCTTCAAGGCATTTAATTCACTATTCCAAAAATGTCCCTTTTTCTTAGTATGGTGTAAAGCAAACTGACTTTGACAAATGGAGTTTTTTTCCAAATCTACCCAAACCTTGAAAGATGTTAACTTCAATTTTAAGTTTCAGATTGGATGAGTTTCTATATTAAGTTTTTTGGCAATTTTTATTTAAAAGGAAAGAGGAAGGCACTTACACGGAGTTACTTGCCCTTCCTGTGCATCTAATTCTTAATGGGAATTCGGAACAGGTTGTTATGGGAAAAGGAATAATCCCATGTAATATATACTTTATACTTTTAGAATACATTGTAACAAAAAAGCACCAAGAAAGCACATTAAACTGTCACATTAGTATATGACTTTCACCTCCTACAACAGTTGCTCAAAGAGTCATTACGGAAGATCAATGACGTAGCCTGGACCATTCAACTGAGTCGGGATTTCAACCAGCAACTGGACAGTTACGGCAACACCTCTGTTGAGAAGGTTGGTTTTTTAGCTCAGAGACCTTAGCTTCTACTTTATGACCAAAAGGAGGGAGAAATGGTTAGAAAAATGCTCCCTTCTCTTCACCTTACATTTGACCAAAGGTTACAGGGCCACACCTATCTGCAAGGAAAACTGCCGAGTATAGTGCCTTCAAGATAAATACATGCCTAACTAAAATTCAGGGGTTCTGTTCTAGAGAAGGAAGAAAAATGGATACTGGAAGGCAAATGGCAGCCCCTACCAGAGCACTAGTTTAATGCAGCTTATGCCTTGGTTTACATTGGGCCAGTCTTGTGAGGCTGGCTACGAGAAATAATCTACTACAACTTTTTAAAAACTTGAAAGAAAAGAATGCTCAAAGGCCACTTCTTTCATTCTTCTCTCTCCACATGACCTCTACCAAACCCTCCACACTGTAACCATCCATTCCAAATGGGGTTTGAATCCAGCTTCTGCTACTTACTGCTTATGTAGCTTTAGGTAAATTTTTTAACCTCTCTGGAGCCTCAGTATACTCACCAACAAAATGGAAATTTTATCTACCTCTGAGGACTGTAGTGTTACAAGGGTTCAATGAGATAAAGTATACAAAGTCCCAAGTGAAGTGCCTGGCACATGGCATGTGTTTAATAAAAAGTAGATGGTGGTTATCATTGTGGATATATTATTCCTAATATTTTTTTCTGAAAAAACATTTCCTAAGTCATTAAATGTTCCCAGTATTAAGTGTCTCTTCCCCCAAATTCTTTATTAGCAACCTCTAACTCTTCTATGTAATTTTCAAAATTCCTCTCACTGATTGACTCTCTAATTTGGTACAGAGTACTGATTCTCCAAACTGGTCTATCCAGCCTGCAGACACACCCATCAGAAAAATTTGGTGAGCAATGACTCATCTTCTTATACACGAACTAGCCTTGTGCATCTCATGTAGTACCATTCATCCAACAGTATCCAAACCCACAAGATTAGTCCAAGATAATGGTTGTATGAGTAGGCAGAGCAATTCAAGCAATGAGCTGCTTAAATGGCTCTAAACCTTTACACTTAACACCAGAAAAGTAAGTGTACCAACTAGCTTTAGAAGCATAACAAACTACCCCCTGGTGGCTTAAAATAACAGGCACCTAGTTAGCTTACAATTTTGCAAGTTGACAGTTTGAGTTGGGCTCAACTGGGCAGTCTTCTGAGCTCAACTAGCCTCACTGCAGTGCACTGGGGATTGGCTGGTCTGGGATGATCTTAACTAGGACAGCTTTTTTCTGCTACTTGCAGTCCCTCATCCTCCAGCAGGCTAGCCCAGGCTTGCTCTCACGGTGAGGGCAATGAAGTATGCAATGTTTCCTGAGGTCTAAGCTCAGAAGGGGCATACTATTGCTTCTACCAATTCCATTGACAAAAGCAAGTCACAAGACCAGCCCAGATGCAAGGAATGGAAAAATAGAGTCGTCTTGATAAGAGCTGCAAACTCCCATAGCAGGGAGGTGTGGATAGAGGTGGGATAGAAAGGTTATGGCTATTTTTGCAATCAATGACATTTTTTCCCCCAATTCCGGGTTTCTGATTTCTGGGATTCCTAGCCAAGTCCCCAAGTAAGAATGCACTATACATTGAATCTGACCAAATTCAGCAGAGAAGCAACAGATCAGCAGTACTGGGGGCCACTGAGGCCAGCTAGCCCTTCACATGTAAGTCATATTTCCCCCTGATCAAATCAATTTTTTCTCAGCACAAGACTTTTCCAGACTCTTTCCTGTCCTTCTCCCAAGATGGAGTTAAATAGACTCTAGCAGCTTTGACCCCAATTAATATTTACTCCAGTTCTGTAAACAGTTTTCCTCATTATGATTCCATGATCATGGGGGTCTTTTGCCTGGACAACTGAGAGTGAAGTGGCTGCTACCTTGTCAGATTCTTACTCTGATTTTACTCTTACTCTGGTAGTTCTTCCACCTGTTTTATCACCTTAGGTCCCCCTCTCATCCCAAGTCAGACTAATGCGTACAATTTCTCCTGAATGTACTAATTTAACTTCATTTGTTACTACTAGATTTTCCTTTCCTCCTGTGCCATACATCCTTTCTGATCAATAATGACCACTCCATAGCTACAATCCTTAGAGCTCTGCAGGGTCCTTGGAGCTCTGCAGGGTCCTTAGAGTGGACTTCCAACTGGCCACTTTACTCTCCTGTGTGTAACAAGATGGACAGTCTAAATAAAGAGATGCCAATCTGGTATTATATAGCTATATATACACACATGTTCATATACCTATTTACATCCAGGAGTGTCCTATACTGTTCAAACACAAGCCACTAAGGGGCTGCCCCACACCTCCAGGCATAGCTCTACATCATACATGGCCTCTAACGAGATGACAGGAAGACACGACTTTCCTACTTGCCTTTTCTCCATCCCGACACTGCAGAAGGAACCAGGGTAGGGCTGGCATAATGAATCCAACATTCTCACCACTGTAAGGGAGGTGGAAGCCACAGAATGATTCCCCACATGCTCCGCCTCCAGTGTTCCTCCATGGGGTGCTTTCCCTCCCCAGTTTAGAGTTCCTTACTAAAGACACAATGCGTGTGTAAAAGTTCCTATGTGAATTTTCTTTTTCACTCCTAATACCATTCTGGCAGCACTTCTGGACAACTCACTCTGCTCCTGGGAGAGAGATAATAGTAGAGCATACAAAGTATTATTTTCAAAATTACTATACTCTAAATCTCCTAAACTATAAACTAAGTCAATATACTGTGGAGTTTGAGAATATCTGATGACATTATCTTCAAAATTACCCAATTTTATTGAGCATGTTAATGCAATGAGCACTTATTAGCTACCAGTGACTGTCCACTGGAAATAATCAATAAGACCCTCTGCAACCAAGAACGGAAATTCTGAGCATAGAGACAAATAAGAAAATTAAAAATTACAGTAGAGAGTGAAAGGTATTATGATGGTGGAGCACATGGCATAGAGGAGAGCAGAAGAACACAGGTAGAGGACAGAGCCTTGGCGGGGTGGGGGAACGCTTTGAAGAGATAGTATAGGAAAGTACATGGTTAGTAAGCAGTCATAAGTTACCTCAATGTCTTTTCTTCAAATGACTGTTTTAACTCTTTCCATTTTTCATCAGTCTTGCTTTCCAACCTTTAACTGTGTTGCTTGTCCTTTGTTTTCCAGAAATTTCTTTGGAAAGCCTTGGGAACCACCTTAGCATCCTGCCAAGACAAAGACTTTGTAAGCTCACAGATTAAGGAAGCTCTGGCTGCTCCCAACCACCTGGGGGATCAACGCCAGGTGGGACCCCTTTCTTTCAATTTCCTCTCATGATAATGATAATGAATTCCCTCTGGAAAACCTCTGACAGTTCTTATGTTAATGTCTTACTCATTCAGAATTATCCATGCATTCAAGAGAGTCCAACAGAATTTTTCAGAAAAATGAAACTTCCTTATTTAAATATCAATGCTTCATTATCTAACCAGGTTTGTGAAAATATTGAAAAATGAATTTTAATCACTCACCTAACAAGAGTATTTTAAATATATTTTGACCTTGGCTTTATAACTTAAGAGTATGATTGTAAGTATCAAAATCATTAAACTTGTAAGCTGAAAGTAAGCTTATATACGATTGGTTTTCCACCTAGAGAAAATATAAGTATAACCTGGAGAGCTTTTGCAAAGTGTTTTTGCCTCTTCCCTACCCTAGCCTAAGCTGGAGAGCATATGTGAATGTGGAAGAAAAAGGAGGATGTCTGTTAAAAAACAAAAACAAAAACGAAACTCTTCAAGGCTAATAAAGACCAGCTAGTAAAAAATATATTTTCATAGTCTGTCTAGTTATATACTCTTCTCAGAAATTCTCAGATGTTTAGGGTCTTTTCCCCATCGTAAATGGCTAGAAACCACTAGACTTACTGAACTTTTGAAACTGTTCCTTCTCAGTTATTCAGTCATCACATTTCTCATTGGCATTATTCCTAGCACCATTTTTTCCATCCTAATTGCCCTTTTAGTTCTGCTCTGGGCTAGGAAACAATGTCAGTTTATTTCAGATATAAGCATACAATATGGCTGTCATTCAAGGTCTGAGGGGTTCACAAACTTTAAAAGATGAACTTTGTGACATCCATTTGAGCTTCTCAAATTCCTCTTTTACTTAACTTTACTTCAAGTTTGAGTGTGTCCCACGCACTCAAGTCACTTAGTGAATGACCTCTGGATGGGTAAGGTGTTAACACGTAACTTTCTTAGTCTCACTGAGCCTGCTGGCCTTCCATCTCCCGAGCATGACTCTCTCCCTCAGGTGACACCTGAGCTCTGATTCTGATGTCAGACTAGCTGGATTCAAATCTTGCCTCTACAACATGTTCTTCCAAGTAAAATAAGGGAAAATAGAACGCTTCTCAAAGTTCTTATTCATGGAGAGTGCTTAGTGAACAGTTTCAGGAGAAAAGAGCTGAGGTTGCAACTGTGAGGAACTGGAGAGAGAAAATGGACTCAGGGAAAGATGTAGGACATCTGTGCAGATTTGAGGGCCCCATTGGGGGTTGAAATCATCTTCTACTGGCACCTATTTTCTCAGTGGGGTCACTTTTTTTTCCAGTAGCCTCCTGCAGATGAGGTGTAGGGATAGGTGATCGGCAAATGGGGAGTCAGATTTATCCAGGGCTTTGCCAGACTTACATGATAGAAAGACAGTGGGACGTAGGTGGAAAAGTAGGGGAAGGAGTTAAGACATTAGGAAGATGGGTTGGAAGAGGAGAAACACAGAGCACTGTGGCGTGACAGGACCCAGAGGCTGAAAGACACAGGTTTATATCTTAGGCCCTGACCAAGGAACACAGAGACATCAGGCCACAAGCCTTTAAATATCTCTTCCAAGCATCTTCTGATAATGGAGAGTATGTGCCCTGGTATCTGAGGACTAAGAACAGTGCTGGTTGAGACCTTGGTGACAGTGGTCATGGTGGTTCTAGCCGGGTTATACAATCGGATGAAATATAACAGGACTCAAAAACAAACTGCCATGAAGGTACAGTGGTGAAGTGAGCCTCGAGCAAGAGAGGTGGAAAGAATGTGGGCAAGGGGGGAATATGACCACAGAGCATGAAACAGGAGCTACAAACTTTCAACATTTTAGCCACTTGAGATATAGTAAGCGTTCAGCAGGAGAGGGATCCTATAGAAATGACAGTCAACTCTAGCTCAAAAAAACCTCCACTGGCTTCCCACTAGCCTAAGATTAGAAATCCAAATTACTGGCTGTGGCCTGAAAGGCCCTACTCAGACCAACCCCCACTTCCTCTCTCACCTCATCCTGCACTTCCCCCTGATTGTTCCTTCTGCCCTCCTCGATGGACCTCAGGGCCTTTGCACTTACTCCATCTGTTTAGAATTCTGCTTCCCAGGTAGTCCAATGGCTCAGTCTCTTGCTTATTTCAGGACTCTTCTCCATGTCACCCTTGTATTGAGGCCTTCTCTGGGCACCCTACTTATATTGCCAACTCCCCCCAGTGTGCAGCTTCTACTCTTTTTTTTTTTTGCTTTTCTTATCTCCATAGCACTTATCACCTTCTGACATACTATACATTTACATTTACATGCTTACCAAATTTATGTGTTCACTTTATGTCACTTCTCAGTCACTTCCCCTGGTTGCACACTCAAAAGGATGGGGAGTTTGATGTGTTTTGTTCAATCCTGTATCCCCTGTACCTAGAAGAGTTCCTGACACATAATGGGTGCTCAATATATATTTGTTGAATAGATGAATAAACTCAAAATGTCCTATCTTTTCTGATTTTAGGGAATAACATCTATCTTAGGATACTGTGCCGAGAACCACTTTGAAATTGTTTTAAAAGTTCTTAAAACATTCCAAGGTAGGGAAAAGTTTTTCATGAATCGATGCAAGGTAAAAAGAAGAATTTTCTCCTCCAAAGCCCTTGGTCATTGCAAAGGCAAATGACACTCACTCCTTCAGTGAATATCCTTTCTCCGTATTACACTTGCTCCCGTCCACAGGTCTTTATTCCAGGTCAGAACTGTCCGAACCCAGGCCCTGAAGAATGACCAGCTAGGTAACAAGTCTCCTCCTTTCTGTCACTAATGCTGACCTGGGAGGCCCTAAGGAGCTCCGTGTGTGCCTAGGTTTGTCCCAGCTGCTCAGGCCTCATGGAGAGTTTCCATTGTGTACACACACTCTGCTTCCCCTAAAGGAGAAGAATTTAATGAGTAAAAATTAATGCAAGCCTTCTCACAGGTACCTCTCTTAACGCCTGATAGATCCACAACACCGTCCTGTGTGTTTAAATTTATACAGGCAAGAGTGTCAGCTTTAGACTAATTGTAATAATCTCAGTCCCATTTCTTAACCCCCTAGTGGCCCATAGAATTAAGAAAAAATATGAGAGAAAAAGAAACTCCTTCAGTCATATTTTTTATGTCTCTCTTTCCTCATCTTCAGGGTATTTTCTCTGGGAAAAAGAGTCTGACAAGACTGACGTCATGGTAATCTATGGAGCCGTGGCCCTCCATGCTCCCAAGAGGCAGCTCCTCCCCAGGCTTGATCAAGACATTGTATCCCAAGTCCTGTTTCTTTATGGCCAGTGCTCTCAGGTAACAACCAACACAGGGTTCGATTTCCAAGGCTGGGGTTCCAAGGCTGGGGTTCCCAAAACTTGGAGGGACTCAGCTCTTGAAAATCTTCACGCTCAAAGGATACAGACCAAAGGAAAGATAGGGTATGGTGTAGTATGTTTGAAGGATGAGAACTTATTTTATTATGAAACAGAGTTGAGTGATTTCTTTCTTTCTTAAGACCTTGGGCAGTTCACATCCCACCACTCCCGTGTTGCCTTCCTAGACCAGTTGTACCCACCATGATCTCACCCTCATTTAAACTTAAAGCAATGACTCCTGTACTACTTTAGGGCAGCTGGTTTATTACTTCCCTGTAATAGTCTCTGATGAGTTGCTAATGGTAGCTGTTTAACCTTTTATAGGGTAATACTTATAAGCCATCTAAAAGAGTGTCTCACAAATAGTAAGAGCCATTTATGTATTTTTAAGTGAATAAAATGCATCACTTGTCAATCTACTCAATCCACCTCAAGCCGTACTAATTTCCCCCTCCACCTTCATCCCAGCCACGCTGACCATCCTTGACACTCCTCAACATGCCAAGGATGCTTCTGCCTCGGAACCACAAAACCGAGTTGGAATTCATCCAATCATTTCTGTCCCCCATAGCACTTTTGGTATCTTTAATAAAATGCTTTCTACAGGTTGTCAGTTCAGCCATTTTGCTGATTAGTACCAAGTTAGCCACCTAAGACCCACCTAGCAATCAAGTTTAAAATATGGCTTCCCAGAGTCATTATCCAGGGAGGTTGCCTCAGTAAGTCTGGGGTAGGGTCTGCCATTTGTATTTTTTAAAGGTTTATGAATGATTCTTATTCACAGCCAGGTTTAGGGGTTTTCGTTGATTACCTGCACATCTGCTTCTCCCGTTAGGTTGACAGCACCTTGATGTTAGGGATTGTACAGTATGTTCCTTTATCTCCTCTTCTGTGTCCTCCACAAACCACCTATTTGATAAATCTGTGCCCTTGACATTTATTCATGTGTGTATGTGAGAAGAATGGACTCATAGGGAGCTCACGGTATTGTAGATATAGGTACATGCTAGTGGAAGGATGTAGGGCAGTGATCCTCACACCTCAGCTGCATGAGAATTACCTGGAAAGCCTGTTAAAAATGGAGATCCCTAATGAATCAGTCTTCAGGGATGGATCACTGAATCTGTAATTTTAACACCTTCCTCAAAAAGTGATTCTGACATACCCAAAATTTGATAAGCAATGATGAGAACTGAAAACAAAATTTTCAAAGATGTTTTATGTTACATTAATATTTAGTCCATCATTGAGGAAAATTATTATAAAAATAAAAAAGGAAAGAGACAAAGATGTTTCAGATAAAGATCACTGGACACTTTGAGGTCAGTTCTGCTATAAGGCAACATTTGCAGAAAAACCACAGGGATTATGGGGGAAAAACAGAATTAAATTTTCAAAAGTAATTTAAAAAACATTCAGGAAATATATAAATACTACCAAGAAATGACAGCACGTTTCCTTGAAAAACACCTGAAGTCAGCTGTGCAATTTATGAGCTACTATGAAATGGTGGTGGGAAAGAGGGTTACCTGAAATCTGACAAACAGCTGTAATGCCAGATTTGAATGAGAGCAGCTCATCACACACAGTAAATGAAGGCAGCTGACGGATATTTGAGGTATGTGCACAAGTCTTCCTATGCGGCTCAGTTCAACTGTTGCACCTTTTTGCTCTCACGGACAAAACCGTGCATAAGCAAACTCAAAATTCAGAATATGCTAAAAGTATTCCCTCATGTATCAATTTTGTTGAAACAAATTTGCATTTTCAACACAGGCGTTGTCGCAGAACTAACTATATCTCAATTCCAAAGTCAGCTGCCCTATTAACTTTCATTTTATAACTTTTCACCGCTTTTTCTGCCAAGAGCTTTAATACCCTTTTTCTTACCAAAGTCTGATAGAGCCTCTTTAAAATGAGAAGGCTGAAGCCCAAAGGCTTGACATCTTTATGCTGCTTTCTGTAGTTTAGTCATGATTCACCCAGGGCAAAGAATCTTCCAGTGTACAGGGTCTCTCTTTGAAACTGGGGGAGGGAGGCAACAGCTCCCACCAGTTGGAAGGACTCGGCATCCTGCTTCACTGTTGTCCTTCAGGTTGATGGGTGGGTCTTTTTGTTGGGATGAGGGAACTCTAACTGCTGCTCTAGTGTCTGCTTCTGCCTTTGATTTTTTTCAGGTTCTGGGCATGGCTGTGATGAACAAGGTATGCAGCATATGTGATATATTTGAATACCTGTGTTTGAGTATAAATATATTTGAATACAAATTATGCTCCCTGGAAGTACAGTAAGCATAAATGTTCTCTTGATTTGATTCCACAGGAAAGGATCCCAAAATATAACTACTTAATCCAGTTCTGAAGCCAGGAACCCTGAACCTAATTTAAGACAGAACAAGGAGCTGTATTTGGTTCTAGGTGGTTTGGAAGTTAGACTGTAAACTAGAACAGTGTTCTTAGAACTGTGGATTGTAAACCACCAGTAGATCATGAAATCAATTTCATATATCTAATAGATCAAGACCAGCAAAATGTTTGTAATGAAATGAAAGAGAAATAAAAGAGTACATTGCACATAGCAATAATAAATATCATAAAACTTTTATTTCAGTTATGTATTATATATATATCTATATTCACTATATTGTACATGTAAGTACTGGGTAGAATTGTAAACTGTTTCCTATTTTGATTTCTGATCAAAAATGTTTGAAAGCCACTGCTCTAGAGAAACCTCAGTTTATGATGGGAGCTGGAGGGCCTGGAGATTGACCTTAGTTTCTCAACTTCCCTGCAACTTGGATCCGAGACTAAGGTGGAGGTGGCAAAAGGAGCAGAGTGTCACTCCTGTCTGGGCACATATTTCAACCCTATTTGTAGAACCGGCTGTGGTGCCTAAGACCCTGGCTCGCACTGTGAGTCATTTTGCTTTAGGACATGGATCTGCAGATGAGTTTTATAAGAAGTATCACGGAAATTGGCATTGCTGTCCAAGATGCTGAGGATGAGAAGTTCAAGTTTTCCTACAAGGAGGTGCTGCTGGGTTACATGCTGGTGAGTGTGCAGGGAGGACATGGGCAAGACCCTGAGAAGTTCATTACCAAGAGTGCAGGTAATGGGTAAAACTCGCCAGTCCCGAAGAACAGACCTTGGGCGTATTTCCGCCTGAGGGTGCTCAACGGTCCAATGAGGTTTCCACCTCTTTGTGTCTAGAAACTCCCCTGGTCCTTCCTGAGACAGTTCACCTCCTTGTCTGTGTTTCAGGACTTCATCAGGGACGAGCCCCTGGATTCCTTGGCTAGCCCTGTTCGGTGGAAAGTCTTAATCGCCATCAGATACCTCAGGTAGAGAATTTTTTGTTTGTTCTCATTGAAAAAATATTTCCTCCCCCATATCCTCATTCTGATCAACTGACTTATCGATCGGTGCAGACTCTAGTGCACTGATCAAACATGAACACAGTTCATCAATAGGTTATTTCAAATGGGGGCTTTTTCTCTTTCCAGAGTGACAGAATTGACTGAGAGCCTGATCATTTGTTGACTCACAGGGACTAGCGGAGCTGCTTACAAGAGTCAGACTTATTGATATATGAGGACTGAAACTTCTGTGCAAAAATAATTTATCTTGGCCTGTAGGCAAATTTTAATCGTCCCATTAGAAATATATGAAACCCTTAATCACACCCTAGTTTGGTTAGCAGCAATAAGCCTAAAGAAGATAATAATTTTAAGCGCGTTTTTAAAATAATATTTTTCCCCTGGAAACTACAGAAAGTTTTTAAAAATAATAAAAATCATCCCAATCCCCCCCCCCTTATATCAACATTTTGGTATATTTCCGTGTCTTTATTTCTAGTCTTCCATGTTGGTTACAGAGTTGAGATTCTACTCTGAATATGATTTTTTAATCCTGTTTTTTTTTTCTCACCTCATCTTACATATTCCCATGTTATTACCAACTCTTCACAGACATCAGTCGTTTTTTATTAATTTTTTTTATTTTTGATTGTGGTAAAGTATACATGTTTATCATCTGAGCCATTTTTAAGTATACAGTTCAGTGTGTTAAGTACTTTTACATTGTTGTGCAAAGCAATCTCCAGAACTCTTTTCATCTTGCAAAACTGAAGCTCTGTACCTGTTCAACAACTCTTCATTCCCTCCTTCCACCAGCCCTGGCAGCTACCATTCTTTCTGTCTCTGTGAATTTTATACTTTAGGTAACTCATGTAAGTGGCATCATACAGTATTTATCTTTTGACACCTGGCTTATTTCCCTTAGAACAATGTCTTCAAGGTCCATCCATGTTGTAGCATGAATCAGAATTTCATTCCTTTTTTAAGGCTGAACAATATTCCATTCTATGTGTATACCATATTTTGTTAATCCATTCATCTGTTGGACGTTCATCTGATGGGTGTTTTTCACATTTCGGCTATTGTAAATAATGCTGCTATGAACATGGGTGCACAGATATTTCTTCCAGACCCTGCTTTTAATTATTCTGGATATATACCCATAAGTAGGCCTGTTGGATCATATGTCAAGGCTATTTAGAGGAACCACCATACTGTTTTCTCTGGCAGTGACACTATTTTACATTCCCACTAGCAGTGCACAAGGGTTCTAATTTTTCGGTAAACTTGCCATCACTTTGTTATTTTCTGTTTGTTTGTTTTTACAGTAGCCATCCTAATGGGTGTGAGATGGTATCTCATTGTGGCTTTGAGTTGCCGTTCCCTAATGATTAATGACTTCGAGCCTCTTTTCATAGCCTTATTGCCTATTTGTATATCTTCTTTGGAAAAATGTCTGTTCAATCCTTTGTCCTTTTTTGGTTCTTTCTTTTTTGTTGTTGTTGTTGAGTTGTAGGAGTTATTTATATATTTTATATTCTTTCTATTCTCTATAAGGTTATTAACCCCTTATTAGATATATGATTTGCAAATATCTTCTCATTCCACAGGTTGTCTTTTACTCTAAATTGTGTTCTTGATGCACAGAAGTTTTTAATTTTGATGTAGGCCCATTTGTTTATTTGTACTTCCATCATCTGTGCTTTTAGTGTCATATCCAAGAAATCATTGCCAAATCCAATATCATTCCCCTCTGAATGGTCTTGGAACCCTTGTTGGAAATCATCTGACCATATATACTAGAGTTTGTTTCTGGGCTGTCTATTGTATTCCATTGGTCTGTATCTGTTTATTTATGCCAGTACTATACTGGTTTGATTGCTGTGGTTGTGTAATAAGTTTTGAAACCAGGAAGTGTGAGATCTCCAACTTTGTTCTTTTTCAAGATTGTTTTGGCTACTTGGGGTCCCTTGAGATTCCATGTGAGTTTTAGGATGGATTTTTCTATTTCTTCAAAAAGTGTCATTGGGATTCTGATAGGAATTCCATTAAATCTGTAGACTGCTTTGTATGGACATCTTAACAATAATAAATACTCAAATCCAAGGACATGGAATGTCTTTCTCTTTATTTGTGTCTTCTTTAATTTCCCTCAGCAACATTTTGTGGTTTTCAGTGTACAAGTCTTCCACCTTCTTGGTTATTCCTAAGTATTTTATTCTTTCTTATGCTATTGTAAATGGAATTGTTAATTTCTTTTTTTGATGGTTCATTGTTCAAGTGTATAAAAATGCAACTGATTTTTGTGTTGATTTTGTATTCTGCAACCTTTTTTTTTTTTTTGTGGCTGTGTTGGGTCTTTGTTGCTCTGCATGGGCTTTCTCTAGTTGCGGCAAGCGGTGGCTATTCTTTGTTGCGGTATACAGGTTTCTCACTGCGGTGGCTTCTCTTGTTGCGGAGAACGGGCTCTAGGCACGTAGGCTTCAATAGTTGCAGCACATGGGCTCAGTAGTTGTGGCACTCAGGCCCTAAAGCACAGGCTCAGTAGTTGTGGCACACAGGCTTAGTTGCTCCACGGCATGTGGGATCTTCCTGGACCAGGGCTTGAACCCGTGTCCCCTGCATTGGCAGGAGGATTCTTAACCACTGAGCCACCAGGGAAGTCCCTGTATTCTGCAACTTTGATGAATTTGCTTATTAGTTTTAATATTTTTTGTAGATTCTTTAGGATTGTCTATGTATAAGATCATGTCATCTGCAAACAGAGATAATTTACTTCACCTTTCCAATCTGGATGCCCTTATTTATTTTTCTTATCTAATTGCTCTGGCTGGAACTTCCAGTATTATGTTAAATAGAAGTGGCATCTTTGTCTTGTTCCTGATCTTATAGGGAAAGTTTTCAGTCTTTCACCATTGTGCATGATGTTAGCTGTAGGCTTTTCATATGTGGCATTTATTACGTTGAGGTAACAAACATCATTTTTAATGGCTGCCTAATATCTTGGTACATAGATATGCCTCATATTGTTACATTTAATTATTAATCAACCTCCTATTGCTACATTTAATTATTTCTTGTTTTTAAAAACTATAAGTAATACTTTGGTGAACACCCTTGTGCAAAAAGTGTTCTCTGAACTTCTAATTATAAAAGTTGACAATTCGTTTCAATAAATATTATTGAGTTGCATCCATGTATCAGACACTGAGCTAGGTTCTAAAAGGACAATGTTGAATAAAATACGGCCTTGCTCTGAAGGAGTTTTAGTCAACTAGGGGAAATAAATGCAAAACACATTCACATAATTTCTCTAAAACTCGATAAGAAGCAAAATAAGGGAAGGCACAAGTTGCCATGTTTACAAAGATGAGGGAGGTTTAAAGAAAGTGCAAATAAATCTTGAAGATCAATTAAGAATTAACCAGGCTCCAGAACAGTATTGTCAAGTAGAAATAAAGTATAATACAAGTTACATGTCAGTTAAAATTTTCTAGTAGCCACTTTTAAACGTGTAAAAAGAAACAAGTTAAATTAATTTTAATAATTAATTTTAATCTAATACATTCAGTATATTATTTCAAGTATTTAAAATAAAGAAGTAATAAGATAATTTACATGATTTTCATAATAAATCTTCAAAATCCAGTGTGTTTTACAATTACAGCATATTTTAAATCAAACCAGCCACAACTCAAGTGTTCAATAGCAACATGTTGCTAATGGCTATCCTGACATGGACAGGACACCTGTAGAACTCGCAAACTAATCTCTAATGGCAGAAAGCAAATCAGTGGTTGCCTTGGGCCAGGGTAGAGGAAGAGACGAGCTGCAAAGAAGCATGAGGAAAAATTGGGGCATGATAGCAATGTTCTATATTGATTATAGTGGTGGTTCCATGAGTATGAAACTCATTTGACTGCACACTTTAATGGATGCAGCTGGTTGTGCATAAATTATAGCTCAATAAGTTGAGTTTTTTAAACAGCCAGCCAGACGGTAAGGATGAGAAGATTGTTCAGCATATATCAACACATTTAACACTTTTTTTTTTTTTTTTTTTTTTGCATTACACGGGCCTCTCAGTATTGTGGTCTCTCCCGTTGTGGAGCACAGGCTCCGGACGCGCAGGCCCAGCGGCCATGGCTCATGGGCCCAGCCACTCCGTGGCATGTGGGATCTTCCCGGACCGGGGCACAAACCCGTGTCCCCGGCACCGGCAGGCAGACTCCCAACCACTGCGCCACCAGGGAAGCCCACATTTAACACTTTCAATAGAGTTGTCCCAGCTGTTACTGACTTTTACTCTCCAGTGAGAGAACCAATTTCACCTTTCTCTGACAGTGTCATCATTTCTAATTTCTTTGTTAATTTGGTTGCTGACAAGTGGTATTGTATTGTCTTAATTTACACTTATTTAATAACAAATGGAGTTTTTCTTGTTTATTGAACATTTACATTTTTCCAAGTTATGTCCAGGTTTGTTTATATCCTCGTAATGTCTACAGTATATGTCAGAAAGAAAGAAAGAGAGAGAGGAAGGAAAGAAAGGAACAAAAGAAGGAAGTTTCCATTATCATTTATTCACTTGTGCATTTATAAGAACCTATAGTATGTGTGGCATTACATATAACATGAGAGGACATATGAAATTTATAAAACTCACTGCTCCAAACTTAGAATCTCTCTCTCTCTCTCTCTATCACACACACACACACACACACGCACACACAGTCAAGTGCTGAAGAAAACAAGTAGATTAATGTTAGATCATATAGTAAAGGGTAAAGTAATGCAAAGCAAGTGATGGTTTGTTTATCACTCTAATAAATTAGACCTGAAGTGTGTGGACTATGCCCACCGCTACAGTCTGGTTCTTTGTCCCCAGTCTCTCTCTACTTCCATCACCACCTCCCTCAACATCCCAGCCCATCAGAAATGTACCTGACCCCTACAGACCCTTCAGACTGGCAGTTCTTGGGAATTCTACTGAGTTATGTTTTGTTTGTCAACATAATATCCACTCCTCCCCATGGTTCTCGTTTCAGTAAACTGAAACCTCAGCTCTCACTGAATGACCATCTTAATATTCTTGAGAAGAAGCTGCTGCCCCTTCCACCTCTGGAAAAACTCAAAAATGAAGGCAAGACAGACAAGGACACGGAGCACATTCATGTATGAGGGGGCGAGGCCCGAGGGGAGTGCAAAGTGGAGTAGAATGAATGAACTTGCTCCCCTCGGCCTGACCCTCACACTCACTTTGATTTGTTTCTCTACGAACAATCCATGGATGCTCTGGAGAAGCTGCTGAGGACCATGATGTGGGATAACGTGAAAGCAGAGGACTGTCAAGAAATGGTCAACGTGAGTAGGGCCACTGCTCAAACTGACTCCCATAGTCCCTAATCGGTGCTCCAAGGCACCCTCCAAACTCTGCCTCATCCTCGGCACTGGGACTCGTCCAGCCCAACCCACGTGGCCCACCACGTAGGGCCAGTCCACTTAAAAAGGGTTTGTAGGGGGCTTCCCTGGTGGCGCAGTTGTTGGGAGTCCGCCTGCCGATGCAGGGGACGCGGGTTCGTGCCCCGGTCCGGGAGGATCCCACATGCCGCGGAGCGGCTGGGCCCGTGAGCCATGGCCGCTGAGCCTGCGCGTCCGGAGCCTGTGCTCAGCAGCGGGAGAGGCCACAGCGGTGAGAGGCCCGCGTACTG